TTCAGAAGTTCGGAGATTTAAATTGAACGCAACTCCAGCAAACCATGACTTTACGATGGCACACATAAGAATGGCAAACATCGATAAAAATCCGGCTGCCGTCTCAACTTTCACTGGCCTTTGGCTGAATGTTTGAAAGAATGTACCAACCGTTAACGAAACTGGTCGCCATCTACCTAGAGCAAATGGTGCCACCAAACGAAGCTAAAGTTTTGCGACTTAATCCACCAAATGTAGATAAAGTTTTGCGACTTAATCACCTAATTGTGGATTGTGTGGTTAGTAAATTCCATAACCATACTGTTCATAGCGCACACTAAACTATGTGCTGTTGGAGCATTTTGGGGAAATTGACTCTTCTTTTTTCCATCCCAAACAAAATATTATTAATAAATCAACATGGTCCATCTCAGTCATCATAGCTAGTCACAAAATTAGGCTAGGAAGTTTGTTTTCAACAGCAGACACACACTACAGAACGGAGTGCATCAAAACGAGTATTTGTTAATTTTTAGTGATAAAGAATCATGAAACATCCTAGAATAACTGACTTCTTTTCGTCCGCTGTTGCAAAGAAGAAAACAACAGATAGTCCTTTAAGGTGGGTTATTGATTTCAAAATCAATTAGCCTAGCCTAGATGTTGACTAGCTAGGTTTCGAGACAGAATTATACCCGATGACAAACTAGTGTAGGCCTAAGTACAGTAGGACGTACTACAGGTACTAGGCCTACGCTTTTGTTGTAAAAGTTGAAGTGCATGTACATAGGCCTATATTAAAAAAAAACAAAAAACATTTTGTTAAGTATTTATTGGTTGGATTGGGACCGAGGCAGACAGGCCAGCTTTACTGTCGAAAGTCCTGGAATTAGACGATGACGTCAGTGCACGTTTACAAACGCCATTGATTAGAATGAATTTCGTTTTTTTTTTTATGAAAGATAGAATTTATCGAACATTTATCTATATAAAAACAAGATTAATGTTGTAGAAATTGTATTTCTAAAGATGCATATAATTCATACTTCATTTGGCAGACAATAAATATTCAGGAAGATATAATAAAAACGATTATTAATTCTAAAATGTGCATCAAATCTCAGCTACTATTAATCAGTACTGTATGTAGCCTATTATGTTTAAAGTCTTAAAATAATAATTTCAAATTAGGCCTAGTATACTGTATAACAAATAATTGTATTAAAGTTTAGGTTCTCATGATGTCAGATAACGCATTGAATATGATGCTATATTTTGGGCTCTGACTTAATTTAACGATTTCCCTGTCAGTAGTAATGACAATATTTGTTCTTTTTTTAGCCAATTAGTAAAATAGTACTATTATTTTCAGTGTACAAAATGAGAGTCAAGAAGATGTAGTAGAAGAAGAATAGAAAGAGGAAGAGGAGGAAGAAGAAGAACTTAGCTTTTCTTTTTTTTTTTTTATAATAATAAATGTGTTGAGTATATTGATACTGATTATGCGATTTCGGTGTTATTTAAACATGCCAATTCTCAGAAAATATTTTCTAATTTTATTATATTACCACTTTTTTATTACATAGATCTTTTTCAAAACACAACTGCTTTTAAAACATCATATAGACCCATTAAACACAAAAACTGCTCTGGCTTCGGGGCCTTCGCCCCCGACCCCACCATGGCCCTTAGGCAGGCCCCTGGACCCTACGTCCAGTGAACCTCCCTTGAAATGACCTGGCTACGGGCCTGAGAGAGGTCCTTAGCAGCTTAATAATCATTCTAAAATGACAGGGGCTGAAATGAACCATAGTATCAAGGTGACCCCTGTTCTTACGAAAGATGTAATGGGCTCTTAAAAGGGCACACAAGCCAGATGTATACACTGGATTTCCATTTTAAGTCCTTGTCCAAGAAGACTTGGTTCTACCAACCACACCCCGGGTGAGGAGTGCCTAGAATCAGTGCTAATTTTAAGGCTGTAGCTAGCCGCGCCCCTGCCTCACTGCTCGGCCACTCGACTCACAAAATCTCTATAATCATTTAAATTTAAAAAACTATTTCAGGCAGACACTATCCCAATAAATCTAGGATTCATCTCCAAGACGACAAAAACCTCAAATGCAACATGAAGAAAAATTAGCCCTGCGCCAATAAGGAGTTGTTCATTCAGTAGCCCTCGGTCTGCTGATAAAACGGCTAGTTCATTTGATACTGGACCATTGTACTTTCGAGAGAAGAAAGTTTGGAGGAATTAACAAACCAACAAAAATGGCAATAAAATATGCAGTTAACCATATGGAGTATTTTGCAAGCTTCAGCGGTGAGTATTTGAGTTACTTGGCCTATTATGAGCTGAACCTGAACTTAATCTATTCCTAGGCCAGTTTTATGCTGGCCTTCGAAAGGAGGATAGCGTCCTTGTTTTCGAAGAAGAACATTCAGACAATCTGGAGATACAGCTAGGTGTTGAATAAAACAAATAATGAATGTTTCTTATTCGTACAATGGGATAGAGTACAACAGAGTGAGTGCTTTAAGTCTTACCGTTGCAATTGCTTCCAGAGCGTAATCAACTGTAGTTTCATAGTCTAATGATGTTGAGTCATTCACTATCAGTGTGCCATCTTCTAGCATCTCAAAGACATTTAACCCCTGTTGATAAAGGGTATATCAAACACATTAATTTCAATTTACGGTACCGCTATCAGCATTCACACTATTCTAGGAAATTCTTATACATTTCCTTCTATTATGTTAATTAAACATTATTTTAATTAATCAAGGGAACTATTACAATTCATTATTGTTTGTTCAAAGAAGAACTTTTTAAAGACTTGGTTTAAGCCCATAAGTTTTATGATTAACATCATCAATTTTCAACAGATAAGGAAAAACAAATTGTTTGATTATGATTCATAAATAAGCATTCACTACAGAAAAAGTCTGATCAAACTTGCAGGTTTAGTCCAACAAGCACAATCTGACAGACAGTATCTATAAGTGAGCAAATCCAGATTTTAAAATTTTAATAAACAACAATGATATGTTTATTTCGAGTTGATTGATCAAGTTCCTAGTCCACACATCAAGCACCCTGAGCGCCCAATATTTGGATATGTGCGCTATATAAAACTACACTATTATTATTATTATTATTATTAAAATGTAAATTAAGTCCAATGAAAGATAGAAAGCCTGTATTATAATAATAATTATATCAGGAATTTATAAGGCGCCAATTCCCAAAAAAGATCAAAGGCGCACTATGCAAGTGTGATACCCTCGGAGAACAATATGGTCTTAATTTGCGATTTAAAGTTGCAGAGATTAGAAGAAGTAGTTATATTAATAGGAAGCTGGTTCCAAAGAAAAGCAGAGGCCAAGGAGAATGAGCATTGACCATAGGTTTTGGTTGAATATTTGGGAACAGAAAGGAGATTTCGAGAAGATGAACAGAGACAGCGAGATGGAGTATACTTAGTAAGCAGGGCATTCAAGTAGGATGGATGACTAGAACATATCGCTTTGTAGGTGAGAACTAACAATTTAAAAACAATTCGTTGTTTAATTGGAAACCAGTGAAGTTTATGAATTGGGGAGAAGCGTGTGGTCATATTTCAGCGCCCCTCTGCATATCCTAGCAGCAGTGTTCTGGGTGCGCTGGATACGTTTAACGAGTCCTTCAGAGATTCCAAAAAGTAGAGAGTTACAAAAATCAAGCCTAGATGAAATTAAAGCATGCACAAGTATTTCAGTAGATTTCAAATCTAGTATTCCACCAGGCGAATTCATTTGTGCAAATTGAAAATGTCGGTTCAACAACTTTTACCTGTATATTCTCTTTTGAAGGACGACCTCTAATAATTTATATTACCTTTCAAGGTAGGATTCTGTTTCCCCAAAAGTCAGACCTTTTGTTGTTCTATATTATTTTTTTCAAACTACAGGCTTTACATTTAAAAGTCAAATCAGTGTGTCAAACACAAAAGAAATGCATATATTGGCAACTCAAAACAACCAAAAAAACAAGTTTTAAAATAAATTAATTTTTACCTCTGAATCTGGTGAGAGAGAATATTTTATTTCTCCATTGGCCCCAGAATCTCTATCAGTTGCACTTACTTTGTCAACCACCACACCATCGGTAGAATCCTATGAGGCAAAATGTTTGACACATTGGCTAATAAAAAAGGATCCACTAATTACATTCCATTCCAATAAAACAAAAAGACATTTTGAGAGTCAACGTTTCAATCTACTTCATCGTTTAAAAAAATACAGAGAATTTTGAACTCATCAAGCACATCTCATTAAGCACTGTGAGGTAAAAACTGCTATCACCATCATCACCTGTACGCCAATTGTCGTTAGACATTGTACATACCACCAACTAGTGAGTCGGGTGTGTGTCAAGTGTTGGTTGGTGTCCACAATATTTCTGAGGTTCCCTTCAATTAATTTTACCCATATTTTAACTGGCCCTTTAACTTTCCTGTAACTTTCATTTAGCAGTAATTTCGCTGGAGAATCTTATGCGAGTCTTATTAGGTGCCCATACCATTTTATTCTCACCTTTGAATACAACATCTCCATTTTTCTACCTTTATCATTTCATATTTGCTGATTAGTAATTCGGTAATTTGCATTGAAAGATGTCCATGTCTAAATGCTCAAATATTATTATTATAATTATCAACACACAGTGGCAGCACCAGCTGGGGGCAGGGGAACATTTGGCCCCCAGATAATTGTCTTGTTCCCCCCCCCAGTTTTCCCCCTCCAATAATGAAGAAAAACCACAATTTGTTGGGGAGAAAAACAATTATATACAGTATGTATTTTCTATATATTAGTAGACTATCTATAAAAATGATTACATAAGCCTCTGAAACCCCTAAATTGTCATATTTTTCACTTTTAAAACGTTTTGAGTGACGCCCAACCACGCCCACTTTAGGCCACCCCAGCATATTACCCCCCTCCCTAAAATGTTACCTTACCCCTCTCCCCAGATTTCAGATGCTGGCGCAGCCACTGTCAACACTGCAGGATCTTCATTGTTATTACTTTTAAAAAATTCTGAAGGGACTTACCTCTGGTAAGTAAAATGTGTAAAGTACTTCTTCAAACACAGGAGGTTCATCATTAATGTCATTTAAATATACTTTGATATTTGATGCAATAGTCTGTAAAAAAAACCATACAAATCTTATGAGTATTTTAAAGGTGTAGTCTCATGTATTTATGTGATTATGTGACTGCACATATCTAAAATGAGAATAATGTCACACTCAGTGGAATATTTGAAATGGGGGGGGGGGTTTGATGAGGGGCGCAAAGGTGAAGTGGGAAATTGAAGTCATGGGGCGCTGGCTCACAAAATAAGGTGATAGGTGATTTTAATTTAACTTGAGCTTAATTTTTTGCTTTTAATTTTTTTTAATGAGGGCTGGGGCTCACAGAGGTTTAAGAGTTATTTTCTGCCTAATTCTAATGTAGGTTAATGCTTATGCATTACCCTTACAGTTATCAATATCATTATAGGTTTCATTATTATCATTATCTTTATTACCATTATATAATTACTACAAAAATTAAATATCAACTTACCGGTGTTAAACTTCCATCTAATAATCTCCATGTTATCATGAATTGATTTTCTGCCTACAAAAAAAGTTCAAATTAAATAAACTTATTTTCGAAAATTAATGGTAGTAAATTAGTATTTTGAGGATTGGCAAACATACTATTAAGTTGCCTTTACTGACAGCATCCACTGAACATCAGTTCTCATTAATCAGTGCACCATAAACACAATATCATGTG